CAGGTCTGAGGCGCAGCCCCTCCATATCGCTGAGAGCCCTCAGGCGAAAGCGCAGCTACTCTCCCTTGTGCTTGCATTGCCGGCCACAAGTTTCCCTAGGCTTCCAGGGACCTTATTGTTGGGTCCTTATGGGGTCTAGGGCCCTAACTATAAGGTCCTTGGAAGCACAGGGTTTGGCATGTAGGAAAACACACTTCGAACACGCTGAAACTTTCCAGTTGTTCAGTAGGCGAGCACGCGCATGCTGAAACATTCGTGGGCACAAGTTCTATAGTAGGCGACAACGACGAGCACACTGGGCGCATGCTAATGGTCAGTAGTAAGCACATTGACATGACATGTCAGCTGCACTTGCACTACAAATGTGGCCAATCGTGGCCGATGGCGATGGCAGAAACAAGACAGGTTAAGCAGCCATAGGCTCCCCAAGCTATGCGCGCGGGTGTCCATGAGCGCGCGATGCAGGTACTTTTGCACCTCCAGGAAACGTTCCTGGCCTCCTGCTTTCAAACTGAAATGCCTCTTTGCAAACAGGGGTGCGCACACACGCACACACAACCCAGGCGCACACACACACACACACACATATATATACACACACACACACCTGGACACACAGAAAGCAAACGCACACCAGAAAATGCAACATAAAAGCGTAAGTCGATAGTAGTAGCCAGCCTTCGAGTAGTAGTCCGAGTAGTACCCGTTCCGGCCCTTGGCTAGGGCAAGCTTTGAAGTTTAGAGTGTATGACTCAATTTGACGTGAGTTAGGGTTCTGAGGCTTCGATGTAACGCTCTCAACTCCAATGCAAATGTTCCAGGTTGCGCACCTCGCATCTCGCCACCTACACCTCGACGTATGATTCTGATTTAAATCACGGTCATTCCGAATAACTCTGTAGGGTCAAGGTCTACGAAGGAAGGGCTGTGGTATTATGGAGGTTTAGGGTTTAGGTACTCATCGCAACAATATGCAACAATTATGGTGCATCACCACCAGCATCTGAATCCTGAGCCGGAATCCTGATCACACCCATATCAGCAGGATTACACAAACAGTCCCCCATCGCGGTAACAGCCAGTGTACACGGGAACTGTCACAAATTTAGGGCCGGAGTACAGATCGCTCATGTCGTCGCATCATTGTCAATAGGTAGCCCAGTTCTCCCTAAACCACACATGGAACTGCTGTAATGTAGGCACCTTAATAATTAGAATGGGGTTTTGGGGCCCGTTATACTCTGAAAGTAATAAGGAACCCCCACAATGCTTAAACCCTAAACCCTAAACCCTAAACCCTAAACCCTAAACCCTAAAATAATTTAGGCCCCTTGAGTCGCTTGGGAACCAAAGGTCTTTTACAGCTTAGGGCTCAAGGCCTGGAGTTCAGCCCCCCAGAGGGCAGGGAAGTGGCGTAGGCTAGCGCTTAGGCTGGAGGATATAGGCTTTAGGCTCTTTTTTTTTTGTTTAACGCAGTGCCCTTTCCTAAAGTCTGCGGTTCAGGGTTTACTGGTTAGGCTGCATTATACTTTGGTGATGCTAGACTCAGTAGCAACCATTCCACGATCTCGAACTCGGCTTGTCTAAGACGAAGCAGCCCAAACACTAAACTCCGTAGCCGCTCATGATGATGCTTGCGTGCAGGAGCCATGAACCCTAAGCCCGGAACCCAGAAGTGCCGACGACTTCGCCAGGGAAATCCTGCGCAAGTGCATCAAGAGCATCATGGGGCTTGTTTTGAACTACCATCTCCTTTGCTGTAAGGTCCTCTTTCAAAGCAGCCTGCCAGAGCCTGATACCAGTGCACTCGACAACTCAATACTGCCACTTTCATTGTATATAGTGCCCATATGATGATTGTCTACTGTTAGCGACACTCCCGGAGAGTTCGTGATGAATTCTGGAAAGTCTAGGATCTTCATGGCACAGCTTTCGGGTGTCGGAGTTTAGGACCGTTTAGGGTGAGACCCGAATCAAGCAATTGCCATCATGATCGCATGCTGATTAAGCAGCAGAAGCAAGCACGATTACGAGCTGAACCTGGTACGACTGGTCTTTACAGGTATAGTTACTGGCTCGTAACAACAGCCATTTGTCAGCACGACGTAGGGGCCTAAATAATTGCCTTTCTATTTTGGTGGCTCCATAATAATTATGGCAGAATGGGCCCCAAATCCCTATTCTAATGAATTAAGCCTCTAATTATACAGATCCCTTAGAGGAACCCTTATACTACCCTTTAAAGGAACCCTGTTATAATTATTAAGGCCCCGATATATATATATATATACATATATCAGCTCAACGGTGGCGAAAACACTGCAGTGCCATTGACCTTCATGCGTCCCGCGTGCCCGACCGCTCGACCCCTCCACGAAGCACACAGCCCTCAAACCCTGACATGACACACCCACCCATAGGGGATCCTGTAAGGGATCCCGTAAGGGTACCCTTAGGGTGCTATAGGGTTCTATAATAGGGTCCCCTTCTTGGGTAGTTCTAGGGTCGCTTTCTAGGTCTCCAATCTAGACGGGGCCCTCAAGAAGACCCTCATTCCGAGAACTGCCCAGATGCAGTCCTTGCTTCTTCATTGTCAGCAGGGCATTTAAGTCGGGCTCGTCCGGGCACCTCCAACAGCTCTCGTCTCCACAGTCGCAGAAGGTAGCTATTCGAATATGAGCAGCTCCCGAAATACACACCCTTATAAGTCTGAGTTATTGAGAGGTAAGATAGGAGTCCTATCCTACCTGGTGTTTTCCTGCCTATCTATATGTATAAGTTTGCTTAATCACTACTTTCGAAGCCTTCGGACTCTCCAAATATTGAGCTCGGTCTGTCCTGCCGGTCCTGAACTGTGAACTTGCTAACTAGTCTTCCGTCCTTGGGTTTCAGAATGCATGGCATCGTCTTCGGTGTTAGGCGCGATGAGGTTGCCACGGGGATATGGGAGTTTCCGAGAATAGGGGACCCCAATATAGCACCCTAAATAGTAGGATCCTTATTATAAGGACCCCAAAACAAGGTACCCCTAATTTTCGGAGACTCCCATATTAAGGGATTGGAACTAAGGTTCTGACCTTCCCTCGCATTTCTCCGTCGCGAGCGCAGCGAGGGCAGCGCAGGCAAGGACGCAAAGAAGGCGCACAGTGCTGTGCAACATGGCAGCAGAAATCCGAAATTACCCTTGCGACAGGAAAACCGGTCGGTGACCAGTCTTAAAAGTGGAGCCTGATAAGATGATGGCCACAGGAAGCCTACCTCACACATCGAAACATGTTTGTCGACCAAGGCAAGTCACAACTTGTGTGCAGAGCAGACAGCAAAACGAACCCTTGAATTTTTCTTTGACGAATCGCCGTCCATCTGTACAACAGGCCTCACCGGCCGGGACTGAATATTGGTGCGGTCTATGACGGTCGAGCGTGATCTCTTAAAGAACCCCGACACCTCAGAACAAGCCTAACCCTGAACCCTAGAGGCTTACAGCTTGGTGTCTTGGGGATTTCTGGCTTGGGCCGACAGGTCGCTCCACTCAACTCGGAAGGTCCACAGAAGACTTCTATGATCTATACTCTAACATAAGTCAATACACTGTAACATACAAAATGGCCATGTGAAGCCGTCAATGCGTGTTAACTCTTGGTGCTCATGCACTCGGGAGCCACATCGCAGGGCCAGTTGATCCCACCTGAGAAGCCAAGCCGTCATGGTGACACTGCTAGGGTTTAGGGGTTTAGGGTTTGGGGTTTAGGGTTTAGGGTTGAAGTTCCGGGGCTTGATTCCAAGATATCGGCACGGGGCTTGGCCTGCTAGTGGGCTTCAAGGTTGGGAGCGACAAGTGGAAGAAGACTTGGGCAACGAACACTCTTGTCAAACGTCCACGCTGCTCGGTCCGATGCGTAGGAAGCAAACATGAGTAGTCCAAAGCCAACTAAATCTTCGATAAACTCCTAAGGCTCCAAAGTGCCGGTGTAGGGTTTCGGGCTGCTCACTGAAAGCCGACGCAGTATGTAAATCCTGGTCTGTGAGCGAAGTGCAATATTCAGGCTCAGCGGCGGTGCCGTTCTGGAAAAGCATGGCCATCAATGAGACCATAGCAAGTCGTCCATGGACCGGCCTACTCAATTCGCGCTCAACCACTTGGCAACCCCAAACAACGCAGTACCAGAACATACACTACACATGCACACATACCTCTCCCTATAGATGTACATATTCTACCGCATATTACCTACAATCTACTAACCACTGTAGCGAACCACTGTATTGGATATTCAAGAGTGCAAACCGCACTTGTATGACTTAACAAACATGACACACACACACACCACCACCACCACCACCACCACCACCACCACCACCACCACCACCACCACCACCAACAACAACAACAACAACAACAACAACAACAACAACAACAACAACAACAACAACAACAACAACATCAACACCAACACCAACACCAACACCAACACCACCACCACCAACACCAACAACGACACCACCACCACCACCAACAACAACAACAACAACACCAACACCAACAACAACAACAACAACAACAACAACAACAACACCAACAACACCACCAACAACAACAACACCACCACCACCACCACCACCACCACCACCACCAACAACAACAACAACACCAGCCAACAACAACAGCTGAACATCACATAGATGCTACCCAGCATCTGTTTTGCATTTTTATATGATCTAATGTATGGTGTGGCATAGTATATGATGAAAACAAAACCTGAAGTGCATAGGATACTGTGTACATATATACATATATGGGCGCCACTCTCAGATTTTACACCTTATGTGTTGGTTGCACTGTCACAGTTGTAAAGACATAAGTCTATACATATGTGCATGTGTGTATGATGCGACAATGTGATGCGAGTATATATAAACGGTTACATACTTACATAATTGTTCGTATTATGTATAACAGAGAAACCTAGAAACACGCATTTGCAGATGTAATGTAAGCAATGCACAACTTTTCAAACGTGATATCACCTCACACTGCAGTATGTGACATTACAATAAAGATTGTGGCAATGCATTACATTGCGATGCGCGAACATGCTATAAGCTATGTGCCTTGTCTGCTATATTCCTTAAACTTCCTGAATGTTCACGTCAATGATGCTCTGTGCTGTTATATGCTATGGTTTGTTAAGCTGTGTGATCCTTTGCTGCGCTATACTACATTGCAACTACCAGTGTCATTAACACGATTAAGTACTACTGGTCTGCTGTAGTATCCTTACAATCCGTGTTGTAGATTTTATACGTGTGAACATATTAGCTGCTATGAGTGTTACCATCATGACTACATTTACCTTTCCACCCCCTGATCCTTAGACCTTGACCACAAAATCCCAAAACCCTACTTTTCATATACCGTAAAGCCCCAAACCCTACCCTAAACCCTAAACCCTAAACCCTAACCCCTAAACCCTGAACCGTTTCCATCCTTGTCAAGGGACTCTGCGGCCAGCTTGGTCTTTTTGACCTCAGCATCCTGGAACTCGATAGGATTAAAGTTGATGATAAAGTTCTTGCCTTGGCTCAATAATGGGGGACTGGAGTACTTGAATAGGCTTTAAGCGCTGATAAACATAAAACCATATGATATAACAGGACGACATGGAGATAGACAGGTTTCATACTTGGGGCCTCAATCATTGGAATAGGCTTCCTTTTTAGGGATGCAAGAAGAGGTTCTGCAAGGATTCGAACTTGTTTTAGACAGTGTCTGGTGCTCCAAGTGGGGTCCCAGTGCTAAGATGTACGATTTGTTGCCGGTGTCTGGTGCTCCAAGTGGGGTCACTGTATCCGCACTTGTAGTATATGTGGACCCCCTGGGTCATACTTTTCCTCATTATAGTGAAGCGGCAAGCAGTGGCTACAATTAGGGTCTAGTGCAGGGGGGTCTAGGTACTCATCTGTGTCCTCATATCCCACGGCTTCAAGCATAGTATATGGGACCTACACTCACCCGACAACCCAAACCCTCAGAACCTAAAAAATCTGAACAGTAACCCGAGCCTGAAAAACCCTAGACCCTGAACGCCGAAACTGAAACTCAATAACCCTATGCCCTCAAAACCCTAAACTCCTATAGACTTCAGCCCGCAGCTCCGGAGCCATTGGCAGGCCTCCAAACAGCTTTCGCAAGGGTTCGGCCCCCTAAAACCTTAAACCCTAGAATCCTCTTCTCTAAACCACTAAATCCTCAACCATTAAACTCTTCAACCCTAAACCCGTAAACTCTTCAACCCTAGACCTTTCGGATGTGGAATTTGGATCTTGGCTTGTGAGCATGTGGCTTTTCGGGTCTCAGCAGTTTCCGTTTTCGGGGTTCAGGCTTAGGCTTTGGGGTCTGGGGCTAGAGCTTCAGCTATTCAGGGCACAGGGCTTTGAGTCTACAGGCTTTAGGAAACGGTACGGTTTGTAGGGATGCGTAGTACCCCCGATCAAGTCGCGCCCGCCTGATGCAACTTCGAGGACTCCGCACCAGAGAGGTTCGTCCCGCCAAACCTTCCAGTGCGCCTGTATTGCCAGCTTTGGGCTTTAGTTAAAGTTGTGGGATGTTGTAGAGCTTCATGCCAAAGTCGCTGCATTTCTGGCATTGAGAGAATATTTGTTTAAACTTACATATAAAGAAGGTCAGAAGATGATGCAGTGACAGGCCGATTCTCAAGCAATGGAAACTGAGGAGCTGGCTACGTTTTTTTCGTGCCGGCTTTTGCAACGGCTAGAGTTGAGATGTTGAAATGTCCGCTGTACATGCACGTTGGCGGAAAGACAATCAGCATAAAAAACCTCGTGATAAATGGCCGAAACACATGCCTTTTGGCATTGCAGCCTACTGAGAGCTGGCCGTGAAGGATGCCTTGACATTCAGCATAAAAGCCCAATGAGAAGTGGCCGTGAAGCATGCCGTTTGGCATAACAGCTTAAAGTTTAAAGCTGGCCGCGAAGGATGCGTCCCTTTTTGCTTGCCTGGGCCCCCCCCAAAAAGATATTGATTAGGGTTTAGGGTTTAGGGTTTAAGGTACCCTAAACCCTAAACCCCTAAACCCTAAACCCAAAACCCTAAACCCTAAACCAGGGTTCATACGGCAAAGGGAGTAGGGCCTCGGGGACACAACATGCCGCAGTGCAGAGCCAGTGATTCGACACGGACAATCCGTCGAAGTCAAAACGGTTTAGGCTTTAGGGTTTAGGGTTTAGGTTTTTGGGTTTAGGGTTTAGGGATTTAGGGTTTAGGGTTTAGGGGGTTTAGGGTTTAGGGGTTTAGGGGGTTTAGGGTGTCAAAAACACTCGGCCCGCATTCCCAGGCCTCTGCAATGAAAAAAATAAGCGATCTCGGAGCCAGAGCGCAGTGTACATCTAAGAAACCAACTGAGAGCTTCAAGCAGGTTCCAAGCACGTCCAAACCTCCAAACCTTAACAAAGACTGAACACAGTCACGTACCCCTAAACGTTGGGCTAAAGAAAAGCGCTCCACTCCGCATGAAGCAATTAGCTCAAAAAAAATCGCTACTTCGCTGTGCATCCGAGACCCCTCCATAGTTTGTGTTGGGGCAATCCCTAGACTCCACACATCCATGATTGAAGCATTGCCAAAGTCAGTGCAGCGGCCTGCATATAGGATCTGCCTGTGGTTTCTATCACATATAAGTCTATTGGGTTGTTCAAGGGTTCGGAGACCAACTACTTCATAAGTACGTTGGCTGCAACCTGTATGCAGCCCTACGAACGCCCGGAAAGAGAACACGACAGCCCACATGGAGCCCAATAAGCAGACACAACTAAACAACACAGCTCCCCCTTTGTAAACCCGATTTCACATTGCCCGAAAAAGTGACAGAACACTTTGAACCCCCATAAGCTGTACAAACCATCGAAACCCCAAGCCGCATGCTAGCAACATGCAAAGGATACTGTGCCCTGTGTCTTGGAAGAGGACTTTCGCAGCATGGCCCTGAAGCTGCAAGGGTCTGATTGTCAGGGCTACAAACGCCAGCACTGCCTAAGAAATCATTGACTTGTGGAAATGAGTCCCTCGGGCAGCTGTGCAACACAACAAAGAACTACAAAGACACGAATTGAAAAAATTAACACCAGGGTACTCTGACCTCGGTGTGCCATTTTCTGATTTTGCTCTTCTCGATTCTCTTCGCTTGTTTTCTTCCCTCAAAAATCTAGAGCCCGGGTGTCCCGGAAACGATTGACGAACCGAAGATGTATGTATGTGAGATATACTCGCATGCATGTAAGCATGCAAGCATGTACTGATGTATGGTGTGTATGAGATGCACGTATCATATCATAGATCCCTCATATTTCCTATTCATCCATCCATCCATCCATCCATCCATCCATCCATCCATCTCTTGTTCGTCCATACATCCGGTCCATCCACCCACCCCCCAGCCATTCATCCATCCAGCCGTTGACGATGTCGATGACACCTTGGTAAGTCGCCCTTGGCTAGTAGATCTGCTACGTACTACATGATTGGACATCTTAATTGCGTCAACTCGGTTAGCCGAACTTAATTTTCGGCTTCGATGCGAGAACAATTGCGGCAACAACAGCAGCAACAAAAACAACGACGACGACAACGACGCTGTGCATGACGGACAGGCTTGGTGGATTCATTTTCCCCAAAATGCTGGCCCAAAACCCTTTCTCCCAAGTACCGGCAGATTCCAGACTTCGAACGAGGGTGGGTGCAACCGGGTACGACCTCGGAAAAAAAAAACAGAGTCGCGCCGTTCGCACCCGTTCGCACCCGGTCGCACCTGTCTCGTTTCGACCCGCTTGGGAAAGCTCGGAACGAAAGTTTTCCAGACCCCACCACTCGAAGAGCGTTCCACATACTGCGGAAAACAACATGTTGGACTACGGCTGTACTCCAAATACACAAGTTCGAAGACACCCCAGCTCCGGTAGTCTTCCGGAGCCTTTCCACGTTCACTATACGGAGTTTTACATTCAAGTTCCGCTATGAAACTAAGAAACCTATATTGCCCCCTCGCGAAAAGCAACTGTTTCTTAGGCGGCGCTTTTGCTGTACATGTGGAAAGCTGAAGCCTCGTGCATATGTCACGCGAGGAAGGCATACCCTCTGTCACCTTGCACTAGGCGTCAGCACCCAATCCGAACTCGACGGTACCCAAGGTTGCTTGGCCGAAGAAATAAAAGGATCCGCCGCCATGGATTAGCATCGCCTTTCTGGAATAGGGTTTTGCGGCCCATTATACTATACTTATAATCAGGACCCCCCCAAAATAGTATAGGTAATTATTAAGGCCCCTCTAGTAGCATCGCCTTTCTGCAAGGCTCAAAGGTCGCTGCCCCAGCGCTCGTATCACCACCAGGCGGAAGACCAGCAGCAGCGAGACCTGGATCTCTCGGCCAGATTTCCTGCAAAAAAATGCACGCATCGAGGGCTTGGGCTTTGGCCTCCTTCGGGTTGGGGTGTGTGGCTTAACGTTTCATGGTTTCATGGAGTTCTGGAGGGATGTGGCTGGAAGCTGTCCTCCCATTGTCCGGTGGCCATGCTGAACTCCCACCAGCCATCGCCAATCCAACCTCCTTGGAGTGGGTATGGCCGCCCACCGAACACCTGAGACAAGCAGCCAGGGGCCAAGTGGTCTAAAATCTCCAGTCGCGCGAAGGTACTAAGAAAACAACTTCAAGGAAAGAAGGTGCTCACAGCACCAAGGCACGAGCAATCCAGATCCTGTCCAAGCGACCTGTGGAGCAAGTCGAGGGGCAGGAAGAGGACCGGTTTGTACGATCTGGTGCCACGTGTTGGAATCACGGCTGTATGCCCAAATATCGTCATGGATCACAAACGAGGGGTCAAAGAAAGCACCAGCGACGCCTCCATAGACCTTCTCAAAGAAGAAGCTGAGAGTCAAGTAAAAGGCAACTGGAACGAGCCGGCCGCTTCCGTGCACGTTTCTATGGCCGGACTGTGACAGCCATCATCAGTGACAATTAGTGCCAACAAATGTCAAAGGCAGCAGTGCCTTGAAACTTGTTTGCAGCCATGCACAATCATGCGACTGCCGGCGGAGTCCCAGAAAGCGTGAGGCAATCGGCGCGCTGTTGGATAGGCTGTCGAGGCGGCCTTCGAGGTCGCTGTGAAGTCTGTCCAGGTTGCTGCCAGCGGCTCATACTCCCACAGCTCATCCACTTGCCGATTTTGTTCAACACCGATGTCGCCACCAGCCGTCAGGCCCCACCGAAGATCAACATCGTTTGGCTGGCTGTGTTCCAAACGCCAGCCAGGAAGCCACGGTGAAGCGGCCATGCTCCCGTCCTGTTTTCCGCTAAGGAAATCCTGGTCTGTGAGACGGAATCACCTGCGAGGAGAGCAGCAGACATGTCCGAAGCAAACCGGATACCACACTTTCAGAGAGTTGAGCCTGAGATGTCCCAGCGCACCTGGGCATACTCCTCGCCTGTTCCGCGACCACCATCTCCCCTAGCTCCTGCACCATCAGCTAGTTGCCTGAACATGATTCAACCTCCATTCCTACACCAGTTTCCCGTCCCTGAGCTTTTCCAAGGAGATCAAAGTAAGAAAGCACCGTATGCAAGACATGCCAGCTTCACTGTAACCGCACATGCGAAGCCTCTGACAGAGAGCCCAGGCGCAAGCCCAAGCCCGGTCCTCCATAGGCAAGGAAATACTCGCCCGTCCACACGACGATGTGGCCATACTGTAGGAAACCTCCGTTCGTTCGACCAGTCTCCCATTCCATTTGGCTCCAAGACAGAGATGGCCAGTCGAAGACAAACACCACGTTCGAGGGATGCGCTTGCTGAAGTTCACTTGCTTGGCCCGGGATGTTTACAAGTGTCACACCCCCGTGCAGATAGGTCTTGTCGCCGACCTGCACCATGGGGAAGAGATGCAAGTCCTTCGTTGGCCCACCTGAAAGGCCCACTTGGCGCCAGCCTCTGTCGGGCTTCTCCTTGGCTGGCTGCGCTCAGCACATTGGCCAGGAAGGATGACATGGACCCAGTCCCGTCCAGTCCCCAAACCCAACAGTCTCCCTGCACAGAACCAGCAAACCATTGCTATCTCGCTGGAAACAGCGCCTGCGGCGGCCCTACTTTGCATGAACTTTATGGACTGCTGACGACGGCCTGAGTCGCGCGCGGTCAGATCGCATTCGGAGAGGGTCGTGGTCATGACCGGAGTCGTCGATGTCAAGGCATTGCTGGTGGTCATGGCCGGGGTGGTCGATGTCAGGGCCCCGTACTTGTGCCAGATGTGTCCCTTGTGATGGATGCCTGGCTTCTTCACTCCCCGGCCCAAAAAAAGGTTCAACTTTGTTCTATGAGATAAACCAAGTGTATACGGCCTAAAAATGTAAATGTTCTTCTATTGCCTATCTAAAATGCGGGGCCACGGCTGGCTCCAGTGCCTTCGAACTCGGCGGTACGGCCCTCGCAACTCTGACTCGCTCGCCTTTGCATCCTTTCCGGAGATGTTCGATCCATGCAAACCCAAGCAAGACCCAAAACCTTAAACTCCCAACCCAAAAACAAAACAAGATGTCAAACCCCAAACCCTAAACCCTGAAAACCCGAACGAGATACCCCTGACAACCAGGAAAAATTGGGGTCTCCGGGTAACTGGGGTCACGAAGCAACGAGATGTCTAGGTAAACAAATGGAAACAAAGCAGCACAGCGCCCTCAATGAAACGATTGATTCAAAAACCCCTTCATGACATGAAATGCCCTAATCTATGCAGCTGATGGTGTACAACCCTTCGTATGGATACTGCAGGCTCTTCTCCATCAGTAGTGCGACGTGGACTCGCCGCAAAGACTACGAAAAGCCTATAGCCATAAACCCTAACCCGATAAACCCGAGTTGAGTAGACAGCTTCATGCCCAAGTATCGAAACCTGTTCCCAGCTGGAGCGTGCTGAAGCTGTCGCAGGTGTCTGGAGCCGGCGAGGCACCAGCTGTGCTTGTGGCATGGCCGAGGTCTGCCAGAAGAGTGGCTACAGTGGCTGCCAGCATCCAAGATGCCATCCCTGTCCTTTGGGAGAAGGCGGCCTCTGAAAAGTTGGGATTCAGTAAGGCGCTGGGAGCCTCTTGGAGCCCGGGCTGCGCGGTGAAGGTATAACGTCTATCATATTAGTAGCTTGGTGTGGACGCCTACAAAAAGACGGACACACGTGCGTTGGGTGTTAAGAGTGTGAGCGAGTCTGAGGAAATTGGCTTAGACGAGGATCGCATCTACTCTGCGGAGTAACGATCAACTTTAAGATGCAAAGCTGCTCTTCCCACAGGCTCTAGAAGTCAATGTGCAGAGCTCCACTGGGGATTCGAAGCTGCCTACACATCCAAGCTCCAACCCCTCAGCCCCCAAAGGGTCCTATGTATTGCGGGGAACCTTTCCCCAAACCATAATTGCAATCTCATACAAACCCTACATTCTACTGTTGATGATATAAATCCTGCATGACCCATAATAGGGAATATACCATAATTCCCATAGTTTAGGGTCCTTAAGGTAATGCAGGATTTATATCATCAACCGTACCATATATAGGATCCTTTGGGCCCCACAGACCCCATGTCGATGCCTCATAGCCAGTCGGCGATGGACACCTGAGACACTTTGTTGGTAACTTTGCGTTTACGCTTTCCGTGGTGATACGGGGTGTATGAGGCTGTCTGTGGTGCCCCAAAGTTTCACATCATTTTATTCCCTATGGAGCTTTCTATGGTTTCCAGAGCTCTATAAGTTGTTCTTTTGCGGTGCTTCCTATGGTTTCGAAGGTGTCGCAGGTTTTTTCTGTTTTTTCTGTGGGGTGCTCTATGGTCGTCCAAGGGTTTCTTTTGCGTTTAGAAGTTAAAGCGATAAAAGCTTGACAAAATGGTGGCATATGTTGTAAACAATGCTTTTGAGGAACCAGGGGTATTCGGGTGGCTTAAAGGTTTGAGGTCTACCTGGACCCTGAAGAACCTACCTTTTTAAGGACGTATATACGCCACCACAAGGTGGCTGGGACCCTAAACCTTAAACCCTAAACCCTTAAGCCCCTGAACCCTAAACCCCTAAACCCCTAAGCCCGTAATAAGCAACCCTGTTTAAGGTATACTTCGAAGATCGCGGACGTATATAGGGTACCTTGACGGGCTCCTTTAGAATGTGTCTTCCATAAGGGCCGTGTTCACTTTCGCAGGGTTTATGCTATATAGCGGTTTAAACAGGGGTTTAGGAGTTTAGGGTGTATAGGGTGTGGGATTGAAGGTGGAGGTGCACGGCGATGCTCCTAATCCCCAAACTACGGTACCAGCATGCCTCCAACATACAAGTTGAATACGGAAGCCTACATAGCAAGATCCGTATTGGAGGTATCTTGCCCCTGGGAAAGGGACTCCCAGCTATCTGGGGCATCTACCTGATCCCCCGAGAAACTCCCTATACAGATCCTTTGCGATTCCTTTAATTGCCAAGAACAGAACCCGCAAAGATGTAAACAACCTAGACGGTATACACTCAGAAGAGTGATGGGCATAGACGGTTTGTTAAGAGGCACTATAGGGAACGCATGTAACGGGCATGTCCTGCTTTGGTTGCCCTGAGGTCCCTGTGCTCAGATAGTATTTACCCTTGCCCTACTGCAGTACCTAAGTAGAGCCTGCTTTAAGGCGAAAGCATATGCTATCGGGGTACATGGACCCTTACACCCTAAACCGTTAAAGGAAACCCTTAAGGGGACCCTCAAACCAACCCTCAAAGGACCCTATTTGGGTAAATGGACCGCCCTCTGGGGTTTCAAGTTTAGGGATTCGGGGCTTTAGGCTTTAGGGTTTAGGGTTTAGGCTTTACGGCATTTAGGAAACCCTTATGGTTCAAGTACCCAAGAATCAAGACACCCCGGAATAGTGACCTGCCTAACTAATGTAAGCCCAAGTACCAAGTTTTGGGTCCTTTCGACCCCTAGGGAAGTTTGCAAAATTGAGATATCGAACTAGTCGCAATCGAACCGTAAGTACAAAAGCTGGACAAAGATCTGCGGTCGTCGAAAGTGCATTCCCCAAAAACTCTAGGTACTGCTTATGGGGAATACTTCCCCACATCATAAAAGTAATTCCAAATATCCGAATATGTAAAAACCCACATTCTCCGAAATAGGTACTTACTATAGGAACCCTTCGAGGAACCCTAAACCCTTAATGGAACCCCTAAAGAACCTACATTCTACCCTAAACAGGTACTTTAGACCCTTTGGCACGCTCGAGGTGCTTGCCGATCGAAGCGCTCACCAAGACCGAAGTCGCCACAGTGCAGATCAGAGCTCTGCGCGTAACATTGCGGGCCTGCATGATGCAACACGTGAGGAGCAGGGGGGTTAAGGTTTAGGGACTTAGGGGTTAGGGCTTTAGGGTTTTAGGGTTTGAGGGTTTGAGGGTTTAGGGATTTAGGGCTTCAGGGTTTGGGGTACGGTTGAGCGCTACAGTCGACCCTTCGGCTTGGTCAAGTGGCATCTTGAAGCGGTTGAGGCTCCTCCAGCCCTTGCCGAAACTGTGACTGTAGATGACCCAGAGGGTTCTAAGTACCTGCATACCCGCAGACAGTAGGCTCCCTAAAACAGAAACAAAAAAGAAGCGATCATTCTAGAACCCTTGAAGGAACCCCATAAAAGAACCCCGGAACGCCTTACAGGAACCCTTCAGGCACGGATCCTGTGGGAGATTTGCCCTGGCATTGCCTTGCTTCGGCGGCTTCGCCACAGCATCCGAGAGAAAAAACACCTCGTGTGCAAAGAAGGAAACCATCTAAGATGCTGTTCCGGGGGCGTTCATCAAGATGTCTGAGGGTGGTGTTTTAGGGTTTAGGGTTTAGGGTTTAGGAGTCTTGGTGGTGTTGGCGGTCTTGGCAATGACGGTGGCGGGGACGTCGGTCAAAGGGGTCCGGACTGTAAGAAGCTTTACACCGGATGAGGAGTACAGTAAAAGCCAGAAAGTTGGAATATGATTATCGTAGCCCCTTTAAGGTAAATTATACGGGATCCTACCATGAAACCATTCCAACTTTCTGGAGTTCCCTTTACTTCGAAAGCCTACACCCTAAACCCTGATCAAGTCAGCTTAGGAAACCTTTGAAAACCTAATGATGGCCGAATGATTCCAGTTTCATGGCCGAAGCTGGGCAAAGGCCGAAAAAGCTTCGTCGGCAATGGCGGAAAGCCGTCAAAACTTAAACAGGACATGCACCCTACAAGGGATTTGGGTTTAGGGCTTATGGTTTAGGGTTACCATGAGACAGGAATTCATCGTATGAGGCTGCATTACCCCTACTTTCAAGGGTCAAGTCTTGTCCAAGAGCCACGTGCAGAGTATACCCTCCTATAACCTTCGCTGTGATTGCACCAATCACCCTAAGTTTGCCACTTGCACCCTAAAGCTATTGCCTTATAGATCCCTTTAATGGAACCCCGCAAGGACCCATTACAGGACACCGGAAAAGATCTGGACAGGAGCCCGAAACCGCGAAACCATGCAGCTTAACGTCGTGGGCAAAGGGCGAAACACACGAAAAACGCACCAGCTGTGCGCAACCACTAAAGCTGACGATTGCGACTACCATTCCGACGCCGACGACGACAACCCTGGACCACAAAACCCCGCGCCTAAGCCAACTACTGCTGCTGCCTCTGCTGCTGTTGCTACTACTACTACTACTCCTCCTACCATCACCAGCCACCACCTGAGCTCACCTGGTCCTGCCAGCGTCTGGAGGTGATGTTGCAGCGCCCGGCCTTCAAGCACAAGGAGAGCAAGGGCTTAGGGTTTATGTTTGCAGGCCCCGTTGAGTGTAGCATGAAAACGATAATACAGGGGCCTTAATAATTAGGGTTTTGGCGCCCAATATACTATAACAATTTTGATAAGGAAACCCCGCAACAGCATAGGCAAAAATTTAAGCCCCTACATTAGATCATAATTTCGGGCCTTTGAGTCTCGGGTTTGAGGTTCAAGGTCCTAGAATGTCGGGTTGAAGGTTGAGGGTCTGGGAGTTTCGGTCTTAATATAAGGGCCTTAATGATTAGAATAAGGTTCTGGAGCCCCTTATGCCTTATACTATAATAATGAACCCCCAAAGCAGTGTAGGTAATTATTCAGGCCTCTATACAATAGGGTGAGTTTTGGTTCAGCGTTTTGTTGTAGGGCTTATAGGGTTTATAGGGTAACGAAGTGTCATTGTAAGTACATAGAATTCCAGGTCAAAGATTTTGCGCTCAGGGATGTGTCACTGGCAGATAGCACCATGCTGTTTTCTGCTGACTTCTCACTCGCGGCTATCTCGGCCAATCGCGTCCACCACCAAAGCTGGTTGCCCTAAACTAATCGGATCAATCCTTGATTCACCGCTCCTATGACCCTAAACCGTAAACATGTAGGATTTAGGGTGTAGACTTTACGACGTTACGGTTTTAGATTTCAATTTCAAGAGTATCCGAGTTTAGAGCATCCGCATGGCTGCTACGTGAACGGACGGAGCTACGTGCAAATCACACGCCGCAATAATCAATGAAAGTTAAAATGCTGCATTGCGGGCCGTGGCCAGTCACTGTAGCATACATGGCTATGTAGGAGAAGCAAGAACGACTGATTTCTGTGGGATTTCTCGGGTTCCGCCTTTCAGTTCCTAGCATTGTGTTCCTGGCCGGCGAAAGCAGATGAGCTGAACCTGTGGGGAAGCTCTATGCCCCCAAAACGCGCATGTTGCGCCGCGGCCAAATGCCTGTGCGCCTTGGGCCCTCACTCACTGTGCTCCGTATGTTCTGGTGTCAAACCCCTTCCTGACGTGGCGACCACGGTTTGTGCGGCCGTGGTACTTGTGGTGAAACCACCTCGGCTATTGTTCAGGAACTTCATTCGATTTGCCATAACCATATTCTTTACTGAAGGTCCCATTATGGTAACTTGAATCAAAATCAATATCAAAACCCAGCAACCTCGGGATGCGAGGAACGCGCTTGTGGTAGTAGCTGCCATCTCCCGCATTGTCGGTCGGCTCGCTCATGCCGTTGTCGCACTGGACGGAGAGCTGAGGCACGAAATGGAACCTGTAAGAGCTTGAGGTTTAATAGTTTAGGGTTTAGGGATTATCATAACAGGAGTTCATAGCATAAGCCCTAACCCCTAAACTGCAAGGATATATAGGGCTCCTACTTGTCAGTCCCAAGGTACTGCAAAGCTCTTCTGACTGGTGCTTCCCGCCACATCAGTTGCAGTGCACGTCACTTCCTAGGTGGGCCCATTGTTTACGGCTTAGGGTTCAGGGTTTAGGAGTCAGTGAATCAGTTTCGTAAAGCAGAATCCTCTTCGGCCCAACAATGAAGATGCAAAATGCCCTAAAGGCCTACCTAGCTGCTGTCTCGCCGACAGCGAACAGGGACCCGGATGAAGGACTGCAAGAAGTTGAAACACCTGTTTGGGGTTTAGTGTTTATAGGGTCTAGAGGCTTAGGGGTTTACGGGTCTGCAGGCTTAGGGGTCTGAGGGATCAGGTTTTAGGGGCTGCAAGACGTTGAAACACCTGGGCAGTTGTCATCCGCTGTAGGCGCGAACGTGACGGCAGTCGGGCTGCAGGACTGCACCTGGGATCTTGCTAAATGAGACGGCTGACGAAATAAACCCTACATTACCGTAATGACCCTAAGACTAAGGGCATTATGGCATTCACCCCCTTCATAGTAAAAACACATTGGCGCGGATCCTCCCGAAATCACTCCTGCCTTTTAAAACCTAATTTGCATAGGGGGGTCCGGAGCAAGAGCAGGACAGAGAGAGCAAGAGCTGGAGTAATAGCACAAGCAAGAGTAAGAGCAAAAGCAGGAGGAAGACCAGGTGCAACAGCAAGAGCAAGCGCAGGAGCGAAAGAAAGAGACGCAGCAGGAGCAGGAGCAAGTGCCCTCAAAAGTGGCAGTAGAGATGAATACAGGATTACGCCATAATGGGGATCTAAAGTAAACAGCAGGGTTGTCCTCGCTACGGTAAATGAAACTTAGATCCTTTCGGGGCCTAAATAATTACCAATTCTATTTTGGGGGTTCCTTATGCGCCCCAAAACCCTATTCTAACTACTAAGGCCCCACATATTATAGAACTCTTATAGTACCCTTATCGACCCCTTTAAAGGAACCCTATTCCAGTTATTAAGGCCCCTATAGCACTTGACTTTAAACCCTCCTTAAAAAGGGCCGAAGTCTATGGTAGCTGAAACAGAACCCTTAAGGAACCCCTTAAAGGGACCCTATTTTCAACCCCTACAGAAACCTATAAACGGGGCCCTTATCATACAACTCTATGGTACCCTTTAAAAGAGCTCCTTTCCTTTGCATGGACCCTGATACTCTAAACTCTTAACGAACCCTTACAGAAACCATACAAGACCCCCGTAAAGGAACCCTTCTAAAAACCCCAAACCCATTCCTTTGCAAGAACCCAGGCACGTCGATGTTGGGAAGCGTGCCGATACTTGGATCCTCGAGGTCATTGACCTGGACCTGGGCTCTTTTCGAAGGTTTTGGGCTTAGGGTTTAGGGTTTAGAGTCCAGGGTTTAGGGTCAGGGTTTGGGGTTTAGAACCCAAGGTTTAGAGTTACGGTTTGAGAATAGCTTTAACAGAAAAGTCCTGCTCACATGGCTGCTTACATACATGGATACCTACATATAGTCCTTGCATGCATGCATGAAACAGATGCTACACTGCTACAGCCACTGGTACATTGGAAATGATTGTCGAGAACGGCCGAGGAACGACGAAAGATTCCGACGAGGCCTTGTTGCCAGAAGCATCCGTGGCGTTGCATGTCACTGTGGTGGTACCGACCGAGAACGTGGTGCCGGATTCTTGCGAACAAACTACCTGAACTCCTGGACAGTTGTCGGCTGCATTGGCCACATAATCCACAGCGGCTCCGCACTGTCCTGGGTCGTTTGTCACTGTCACATCATCCGGGACCGGATCGAAGACTGGATTCTCGTGGTCCCTCACTGTAACCGAGAAGCCTGTCCCCGATTGAGCCAGTCCAGCAACATCGGTCGCCGTGCAGTCAACTCTGTTGTCACCGACTGGGACCAAAGAGCCATTCGCTGGCACGCAGGACAATGTGACATCGCCTGGACAGTTGTCGATTGCGGATACGTCGTAAACCACAATGCCTTCGCAAAGTCCAGGGGATGTGGCTGTTTCCCTCATAACATCGCCCAGCGTGATGTTGGGAGCCCAGAGGTCACGGACGTTAACGTCAAATTCTGCCGAGGCAGTGCTCCCACCAGCATCGGTGGCGGTGCACGTCACCGTGGTGGTACCGACCGAAAACGTTGAGCCCGATTCTGGCGAACAGGATACCTGCACTCCTGGACAGTCGTCTGTTGCGGTGGGCACAGTGAAATTCACAACGGCTCCGCACTGTCCTTGGTCTGTGCTCACGGACACGTCATTCGGCACCACATCGAAGACTGGAGGCACCGGATTCAGGTCCTGCACCCAAACACGAAGGGATGCTGATCCAGTGTTACCAGCAACATCGGTCGCCGTGCAGGTAACTGTGGTGTCACCGATAGGGAACGAAGAGCCAGATGGTGGCACGCAGGACCATGTGACATCGCCTGGACAGTTGTCGCGTACCTCGATTACATCATAAGTCCGAACGGCTGTGCATTCTCCAGGGGCTGGCCGATCTCCGACTCCAACATCGCCTAGGATGATCTCAGGAGGCTCTGTGTCAGCACTGGGATCCGCAGGGCACGTAGCAACTCCTCCCTTTACAAGCGCTTTTGCTTGCAAGAGCGCCTGGTCGTCGGAAGTGCAGCTTGCATTCTCGAGGTGCTTCCCGGTCGAAGCACCCACCACAAAGGTAGGTGAGGGTTGCCACACAGCACGTCAGCGCTGTGCGCGTAAAGTTGCGGCCCTGCATGATGCACACGTGGGGAGGGAGAGGGGCGGTCAGGCACAGTCGAGCGCTAGAGTCGAGCCTTCGGCTTGGTCAAGTGGCATCTGGATGCATGCTGATTGACTTTTCAGCCTGTGACTGTAGATGCATGAAGACAACCCAGACGGTCCTAAGTACCCGCATACGAAGAGAAAGTAGTTCCCAACAACAGGAACAACTCTGACTTGTAAGTATACCCCAAAAGGAACCACGGATCCAGTGTAAGATGTGCCCTGCCACGCCTTGGTGGCTTCGTCGGCATGCACGGCATCCAAAAAAAGCCTCGTCTGCAAACGAAAAGCATTTCTTACTAGATTGCTCCGCGGGGGTTCATCAAGATGTCTGGTGGTGGTGGTGGTGGTGGTGGTGGTGGTGGTGGTGGTGGTGGTGCTGCTGCCGCTGCTGCTGCTGTGCTGCTGCTGCTGCTGCTGCTGCTGCTGCTGGCGGTGGTGGTCTCGGTGGTCTTGGTGGTCCAGGTGGTCTTCGTGGTGATCTCGGCTTGGTGGTCTTGGTGGGGGTGACGGTATGGTCGGTGGATGCTGGCTTGTTTTGATCCTGCGCTGCGACTCCTGTGGTTCCCCTGGCTCTTCGTATTCGTCGTCCCTCTAGTCTAATCCCCCACGCACCCGCTTAGGCTTAAGGTCGCATCCTGCCACTGACACTTGTGCCCCTCTTCGTTCCTAACGCTCTCTCACCAAGAGGGTCCAGATATACTACCATTATGGAGTAAGGGCCAGAACGCGGATGGCCTTTTGGGACCATGTAGTGTATATGGACCCTCTGTGTCATATATTTATTCCTCACTAAGCGGCATTCAGGGGCTAGTCAGGAGGGGGTCTAGGTAATGATCTATACGTCCTCATATCGCACTGCATAAGGCATATGTAATATGTAGGACCCACATGCACCCGATACCCCCAAACCCTCAGAAGCCAAAAGCTCTGAACAGATTGCCGAGCCTGAAACAACGGACCCTGAAACTAATTAATCCTAAGCCTTCAAAACGCTAAACTCCTAGGATATGGCCGGTCTCCAAACAATTTTCACAAGTTTTAGGAATTGGGGGTGTGGGTGTTCAAGGTTGGTGTATGGCTTTGCGGATTACTGGGCTTGGGTGTTTAGAGCTTAGGAATGTGGGGCTCTGGGCGACTGTGCTTTGGGACTTTGGGGTTAGGCTTAGGGGTCTAGGTTTAGGGTTAGAACTTCAGCTGGGCTCAGGGCTTAGAGTCTATAGGCTCTTAGGAAGCTGTAGGGTTTAAAGGGATATGTAGTACCGCCCCGTGATGAAGTCGCTCCTGCCTGATGCAACTTCGAGGACTCCGCACCAGAGAGGTCCGTCCAGACGGACCTTCCGCTTCTAATGCGCCAGCATTGCAGGCTTTGGGTGTTATTATAAGTTGTTGGGGTTGCAATGAAAGAACCATGAAAGTGATACAGCCGCAGGCCGATCCTCAACCAATGGAAACCGAGGAGCTTGCCACATCGAAAGCTCGAGAAGAGCCTGCACCCATTCTTTTGTGCCGGCTTTTGCAACGGCTCGAGTTGAGATGCTGAAATGTCCGCTGTACATGCACGTTGGCGGAAAGACATTCAGCATAAAGACCTAATGATAAATGGCCGAAACAAAATGCCTTTTGGCATTGTAGCCTACTGAGAGCTGGCCGTGAAGGATGCCTTGACATTCAGCATAAAAGCCCAATGAGAAGTGGCCGCGAAGCATGCCGTTTGGCATAACAGCTTTATGCTGAAAGCTGGCCGTGGGGGATACAGGGCATTCTATACTTCAGCTAGGCGGGGAAGTTGGAGGGTGGGGAGCTTTCGCCGGCATCGTTGTTGCCCCAGCACACCGGGACTCCACTGAGAGTGAGAGCGCATGCATGGCCAAAGTTGAACAAGCTTACTGACAGCTCGGCGTAAGGTTCATTGTTGGGCGGCAAGCCAAGAGCGGAAGCTTGCTCACCGAAGCACTGGATGCGGCTGTCTGCTGACCTAATGCCGCAGACTTTCTTGGAACCCGCGTCGACGTGCGTGAATGCAACATCTGCAGGTGGTGGTGCCCTCACATCAGAGATCTGACCATCACCATCTTGAGCACCCCAACATGTGATTATTCCGTCAGCTTGGCGTATGCCGCAGGAAGCACTCCTAAAACTGGAGATCGCCGAAAGTGCCTCATCGGGTGGCGATTGACCACTCAAACCTCCCCAGCACTGCGGCTTCCCGTCTGCTGTTCGGAGCCCACAGCTGAAGTCGGTTCCTGTCGACACTGCGCTGAAAGAGATATCAGGAGCATCGAGCTGACCCGAACTATTGTAAAGCCCCCAGCAAACGGCTTTTTGCTGAGCATTCAGAGCACAAGCGTGGAATCGGCTGACCTGGATGCTGGAAAGCGGATCTGTAGGTGCTGCGACATTTGGAGGCATAGAGCCGCCCCAACACACAGCCATGCTGCTCGATTCGACGATCCCGCAGCAATACCAACCGCAGGACAGCTCACGCAATGCGACCGTTGGCACTGTTCCGATGTTTATAGCATCTCCCCAGCACACGGGGAAGTTGTCCTGCTTCCTCAAGGCGCATGTGGAGGCAGGACCTACGGAAATTCGCGCGGTGCTGGTGGTCATGACCGGAGTCGTCGATGTCAAGGCATTGCTGGTGGTCATGGCCGGGGTGGTCGATGTCAGGGCCCCGTACTTGTGCCAGATGTGTCCCTTGTGATGGATGCCTGGCTTCTTCACTCCCCGGCCCAAAAAAAGGTTCAACTTTGTTCTATGAGATAAACCAAGTGTATACAGCCTAAAAATGTAAATGTTCTTCTATTGCCTATCTAAAATGCGGTGCCACGGCTGGCTCCAGTGCCTTCGAACTCGGCGGTACGGCCCTCGCAACTCTGACTCGCTCGCCTTTGCATCCTTTCCGGAGATGTTCGATCCATGCAAACCCAAGCAAGACCCAAAACCTTAAACTCCCAACCCAAACACAAAACAAGATGCCATACCCCAAACCCCAAACCCTGAAAACCCGAACGAGATACCCCTGACAACCAGGAAAAATTGGAGTCTCCGGGTAACTGGGGTCACGAAGCAACGAGATGTCTAGGTAAACAAATGGAAACAAAGCAGCACAGCGCCCTCAATGAAACGATTGATTCAAAAAACCCTTCATGACATGAAATGCCCTAATCTATGCAGCTGATGGTGTACAACACTTCGTATGGATACTGCAAGCTCTTCTCCATCAGTAGTGCCACGTGGACTCGCCGCAAAGACTACGAAAAGCCTATAGCCATAAACCCTAACCCTATAAACCCGAGTTGAGTAGACAGCTTCATGCCCAAGTATCGAAACCTGTTCCCAGCTGGAGCGTGCTGAAGCTGTCGCAGGTGTCTGGAGCCGGCGAGGCACCAGCTGCGCTTGTGGCATGGCCGAGGTCTGCCAGAAGAGTGGCTACAGTGGCTGCCAGCATCCAAGATGCCATCCCTGTCCTTTGGGAAAAGGCGGCCTCTGAAAAGTTGGGATTCAGTAAGGCGCTGGGAGCCTCTTGGAGCCCGGGCTGCGCGGTGAAGGTATAACGTCTATCAGATTAGTAGCTTGGTGTGGACGCCTACAAAAAGACGGACACAGGTGCGTTGGGTGTTAACAGTGTGAGCGAGTCTGGTAGGAACGTCGCACTCGTAGATACGCATGCTCACCACGTCCAGTGTGTTGCTCGTTAGTGATAACATAGAGTTCTGCTAGCGAATGAGCCGATGTGTCTCAAGACTTTTCGGCTCAGTTGAAGTTTGGTATCAGGGACATTGCCATAATGGCTCTCTCCGTGGTTGCCCTCGCAGGCCACTGTTTGGTGGCCGCGACTCTCGTTGAGAGCTGGTTACCATGGTGGCCGTCCTCGGGAAACCTCACAGAGTCGAGTGCGTCGCCTTCGGACGATCCGTCCACGGGCGAACCGCCCAATGGGCACTCTTTCTCCGGAACTATGTCAGTTTGGTGGAGTGAATGGAATTTCAAGGTTCTCTTCGGATTTCTCGAGCGCGCCCATGTTCTCCACTCCCGACCAGCTGGGAACGTTGGGAACAGACGGTGGTTGGGCCCTTTACTTCCTGGACAAAGCTGGTGTGCTCTGTTTCGGGCGGTTCTGGCCGGTGGCAGGGTGGACGACCCTGGTGATCCTCCTGCCCTTGCTGGTCACCGCCTTAGCCTGGTCTCTCCGAACCTGCGAGCGGTGCCTCTGCTGCGGCTTTTGCTGCTGCAAACGAAGCCACGGACCTCGAGGAGCAGGAGGGGATCCAGCTCTTCGGCATCTTCCGGAAACCCCAGCACCGCAAGCTTATGCTACCGTTTCGTTGGTTGGTCCGGGTGGTTCCGCCCCTGTTGACACCGAGTACTACCAGAGACAAGTTCGGGGCAGGGGAGCAGGACGTAGACCTCACGATCTAGTCCTCCGTTTCGAGCAAGGTGCGGTCCGGCTTCAACCTGATAGGTCGCAGAGAACTCGGGTGGACCGGCATGGCCTGTGGATCAAGCCGGGCAGAATCCTGGGTGTTACCGCCCGGATGGGGAGTTCCACTGCAAGGCGTACGCTGCCATCGATGCCGATGCAGTCATCGATCTGGGAGCATATGGGCGCCTTAACAGTTGGAGAGTCCTGGTCCTCTGCTGGCGTGGTCTTCGAGCACTACGGCGGGGTCTTGGGCGATGTTGGCGCTGCTGTTCATGCCGAAGGTCTACTGAGGCGCCCCGCCAGATTCAGGATCGAGGGGTCACCCGGACCTTGGACCCCGACTCCGAATCAGAAGCCGAGGTCGTGTCCGATCCCTGCGAAGCAGTTCTGGTCGGTTTGGAGCTCCAAGGTAAGCCTCGGGCTTTAGCTCCAGAAGGTTGTGAGGATAAAGCTGCAAGCGAGCCCACTCGGTTACTTGTTGAAGATCTCCAGTTGTCCGATCTGGGTGGAAGGGAGTGTGCTCGCCTCTGCAATCATCACAGCCA